GAACACATGTCAGTCTGAATTAATTTAGTTTCATAATTACAAATAATATAAGAACATATGTGAATCTCTCATGTGATGAGACACATGTAATTTACCTTTTTTTAATTTATTATTCCTACATGTTTTTATCATCTTATACTCAACAATAAACTTCTTTCAATTCCAAATGATGAGAGAGAAAATTTCTGGAAAATACCGGAACTTAATTATATTTGCTGAAAGAAAACATGAACTTTTTTGGTTGCCCGATTAATACTTTAACTATTTAACATTGTTTTTTATATACTATAACTTTCAAAATTAATACTGTAGCAGACACATACCAGTCAAAATTTAATGCCGTTTATAAACTGATGTTAAACAGATTAACGTCGCGAACATCGAGGGTATATAAAAAACAATGTTAAATAGTTGATGTATTAATCGGGCATAAAAAAGTTTGTGTATCTTTTCAGCAAAAATAATTAAGTTCGCGTATATTTTAGGAATTTTTCCAATGATGAGAGCATCTCTGTTACTAGCAGAGTTGTTTCTAGAATCCTCTCTTCCTTTTACAGTCATAGCAGATCCACAACTAAGCTCCCTACTTTCCAAGTTGATGCGGCTATCAATGGCAGAAACAGTGGTGGGCCGGTTTTCATAGGGAAATTAGTGGCTGGAATATCATTTGAAGGTCTAGATGATGCACAAAACATCGGATGAGATTTGAAAATAGAGTAAATTACTTGATTTTTAAATTCCAACTCAAATTTGTTGTGGTATTTTTGTTTGTTTTCGTTCACATCAATGTCACCCCTTCTCCTCTATTGCTATTTTTCTTACGTAGTACTGAGAGGGAAGAAGGGATAAGCGCTTTCTATTTCCTCGGCTTGTCTACACAAGCAATGGAATAGATAACTAGATGATGAGAAAATATTTTCAATTGGAAGAGAAAATGATCGGAGTTCTCGTAAGGAAAATATAATATTGCGGGCTTGAAAATCTAATTGAGGAGAATGATGTGTTGCTCTCTGTTGATGGCATTTTTATCCAAAATAATGGAGAAGGTATAGTTTTTATTATTTAATGTGTTATTAGGTGATTATGTTGGAGTACATGATTACGTTGTTTCTCTTCTTTTTGGCAGTAACAATGGAAATAAATTTGGATTCTTATATTTCTTTAAAAAACCATAAGAAAAAGTGTCTTTTGAGGTGCTAAGAAGAGGAATAGTCTCCAAAGTCACATTAAGATTGTCCATTGTGACTTTTCTTAACTCAAAAGTCAAAGTTGAGTTTATTTTGATTTTTGTGTGTGTCTAACTCATATAATTGTTACTAGATTGATGTATCGCACAATGAAAAAGATTATCCCTCTCCAAACTATTTCATATTTGGAGGTTTGGTTTTCATAAACATGGATAATGAATCGGTGAATATTTCTCAGGTACCACCCATTAGTTTGATTTAAATTTTAGTTAGACTGAATTTTAAGTACAAATTATGTGCATATGTGGGTAATTTGAGTAGACTAAATTTGAAGTACTAATTGTTGTGTGTCGGTATTGTGTGATAAATCACATATATGATTTACTTCTCTTTGATAAAGAGCACTGAACAAAATTTTCATGTATATTTGTTAATTAATGGATTATATATTTTTGGTTAATAATCATAAAAATAGTATCAAAAACGTTATATTCAACTTTTTGTATCACTATTTTTTACATTTTTATTCTAGAGTTGCTTACTGGTTGTTCTAACCGCTAAACTATCGATACCATTTTAGATTATCAATTGGACCCAAAATTGGTTTGTGGGCTATATGACACTTGTATATGTACCCTATCCATTCCATACATTTTCTCAGTATTATTGATGAAAGACGTGACTTTAGAGGAAAATCAAGATTGTACCAAAAGAAGCATCTAAAAATTAATTTGATGTTGGAGATGTCTACCGTCATGTATTACTTTTCTATAGTAAAAAAACAATTTCTATAGTCGCGATATTTCAATCCCTTATCGGTAAAGTGGTTCGAAATAGACTTAACTCCATATATGGTTTAGACGTTAGATACTGTAACGCCCGTGAACCAAAATGTGATTTTTGGTTGTGTGTCGATGGACACATGTGTTTAATTCACGAAAGAATCTGTTTGCTGGAGCTGTGTCGCGCGA